ATCAAAATCCCTCCTATAAACATGGGCACTTGCAGATGTGCGCTCAACCCACGTGCCACACACATGTGCAGGCGTGTGTGCAGGTTCCGAGGACCCTGACTGCCATGTCTCCCCTTTGCACAGCAGGCATGTCCTCACATGTTCATGCAGCACCATACAGACAGATGGTGCTCTGAGGCGAAGAGACATGGGGCGAAGATGGATACTACATATATACACGTGTGTCTGGCAGAGTGCTCCTGGGGCGGAGGGAAAGAGTTTAAAGGAGGGTTTGGTGGAGTGATCCAGGGGGCAGGAGTCTCTTCCCACCTGCCCGGGGCTCAGGTTACAGATGCTGCCCCTGTGCCCCTCTCCTCCCTGCTGGAGCTGAGACTCCAAGATATGCCCGCCCTGGGGCTTCTTCTCCTTCACAGCCTCCCTGTTGCCTCCCTGCTCAGCACTCCTCTTGGCTCCTGAATCCAGCAACCTGGCAGGAAAAGATAAATACTGGGTCTGCGTCCCCACCCCTGTGGATCTCATAACAAAGCAACAGTTTCCAGGGACAGAGGCTGGATTTCAGGAATTGCGAGGGGGAGCGGGGGAGGGTATGTTTGCCTGCAGGTAGGGGGTCCAGTCATGGAGTGACTTTGGGTGCCTCTGACTGTGCGCCACGAGGGGTACGGGTACGGCTGCTCTCATTCCACCCCTTCTCCCCAGCCAGCAGGGGCCTAGGGCTAGGCAATCCCTGGCCCATAGATAGATAGTGCGTCTGGCTGACCCATGACCCTCCAGCCCAACCCCTTCCAGTGCAGAGGCTGAGGTGGCCTTGGACATGGAGCCCATGTTAGTGCTGGGGAGCCCCATGGCTCACCCTTCCCTCCGATGCAGTGTGACCCACCTTAAACCTAAACCCACTGAACCCTCCTTTAAACTCTCCCTCCACCCCAGGAGCACTCTGCCAGACTCACGTGTATATGTGTAGTGTCCTTCCTCGCCCCATGTCTCTGAGGTGTATCTGTCTGTATGGGGCTGCATGAACATGTGAGGACATGCCTGCTGTGCAAAGGGGAGACATGGCAGTCAGGCTCCTCGGAAACTGCACACACGCCTGCACATGTGTGTGGCACGTGGGTTGAGCGCACATCTGCAAGTGCCCACATCTGACTAGTACCTTCACATTCCACTGAAACCCAGTCCAGCACTTGGGAGCCATGCTTTCCGCCTTCCTGTCTTCCTCCCCGTTGTCTACCCATTCAACAGTCAGGTGTCCCCCTGGCTGACCAGTAAGTGTTCCTTTCTCAGATGGTCCATCACCCAGTGCTCAGCGATCACTTTCTAAAGTCAGTTGTCCCTCCAGGTGTGGGGATGGAGGGGCAGCCGAGACAGACAGCTGCTCTCTGAAGATGGGGTCCAATGTGCGTATGCAAGTACATGGGGTGCAGAGGAAGCAGGAGCCATAGCCGGTGGGAGGGCAAAGGTTTTGGGGGACCAAACCATCCCACATGTATCTTTTTCCACCCCTTCTGCCCAATGTGTATCCTCAGACCTGAGGCAACCAGGGAAGGGGACTTCCAGGGCAGAGCTGGGGGTATTTGGAGAATGGCTCAGGAGAGGGGCAGGGCTGAAGTGGAGGAGTGGGAGTCATCAGCATGGGAGGAGGAGCGGGTGATGCCACCCAGGAAGGTGTGTGGGTGAAAGGGGTCTGGCCCTGCTTGGAGCTCTCAGGATCACTATGGCTAAGGGATAAACTAGGGCCTCCCTGGTGGCACAAGGGATTGAGATGCAAAGATGCAACATTATGAAGCTATTGGCAGCCACTGTAGCATGAGTTTGATCCCCCGGCCAGGGAGCAACCCACATGGTGCAGCAGACCTCTCCTGCCTCATCTGATGCTCCCCTCAGCAGTGTATTTCAGTAGATCTGCCTGTTCTGCTCCCCACTCTGTCTCTGGTGAGTCCTCTCCTCCCCCCCACCCTCCCCCTCTGCACCTCTGGTCTGCACCCCAGTTCTTGTATGCATAAATAAATGATTTTTTTTTAAAGGGATAAACTAAAGAAGAGTCAGGAAGGTAGCTGGGGAGGACTCCGCAGGGAGATAGAAGGGGAATCAGGAGAGAGAGGAGGAAGAGTGAGGGATCCTCTGGGGCTTCTGCGAGAGGGTGTGGGGCAGCTTTACTGGAGACCCCTGAGGAATGATTCCAGGGGAGTGTAGCCCCCAGGCAAGCTGGGGAGCAGGGAAGAGCTGCCCAGATTTAGCTGCGTTTGTCTGTTGCCCTGGGAGATGCTTGAGACTAGCACACAGGAAAAGGAAGTATCTTAAATCTGGGGACTGGGCCCCGTTTTTCAGTCCTCTTTTTGTGGCCTTGCTTTGTGGACTGGGGCGGATCTCCATCCCTCTCAAGGCCTCAGCTCCCCCATCTCAGGTCAGTGACTCTAACTTTCCTGGCCTAGCAAGGATTCAATTCTGTGAGTTGACCCAGAGGGGATCTAGGGAAGGTTTGTCCCATATCCCTCTTGCTGCCTGAACCAGAGCAGACCTGGGGATCAGCAGGCCGCAGAGGGGTTGGGGCAGGCGAGTGGGAGCTGGAAGGGCAGGCGCCAGAGCCCCTCAGGGCCTAGTGGGAGGCCGTCCTCCTAGTTTGCTGACATCAGGGCTAGTGAATGTGAAGGGAGTTCATCAGCTCTCACCTCCCTCACAGCCTGGTACTGGGCAGGAGCTGAGCAGGGGGAGGGGAAGGAAGGCTGGAGGGCATGCTGCAAGGAGCCCCCAGGCCTGGAACAGAGCAGCAGCCTCCCCCACCTGCCAGAGGCCAGCTCTCGGGTGGCACCATCTTCCATCCTGCCCCCTCCCCACCCCAGAATTCTGCCCTTCCCCCTCCTGCCTTCCCTCAACCTCTCTGCCTTCCTTCCTCGGGTTCCTAGTTCAATTCTGTTCACTTAGTCAGAAGCCTCTGCAGCTTCTGACTCAGTGACTGGACTGCTAAAGTGAGAGGAGACAGTTTGATTCTTGTACAGTCTGCCTTCCCAGAACCTGCAGCGGGCCCCATCTCTGCCCTTGACAGAGTCCCTACTGCAATCCTAGGTGGAGCCCAGCCCTGCCCTACCCCAGCAACCCCTCCCAGGCATCCCTGATAAGATCAGGAGGAACCAGGTAAGCCACTTAAGGTGGGGGCCCTGGAGAGTCAATCTGTACACCTGTGGCCTCTTTCACCCCTCTTTCACCCCTGCCCCAGAGAGCAGGCCACGTTTTACTTCTCCTGGAGGATGGGAGAGAAGACTGGGCCCCTGCCCCTCCCATCTCTACCTATGCTGCTGGTGCAGGCACATTCCCAGGTGTACAGTTATGGGCCCAGGGACCAAGCTGGGTCCGTATCCGGTCCTTCCTTGGGTCCTGTGAAGGAAAACACTGGGTTTCTCTGTCTGAGACCTGATCTTTGAACTCAAGGCTCTGGTGCTCAGACTTGTAGTGGCTATCAACTATTTTGCGGGAGAAGCAGCAGCAGCGGCAGCAGCAGCATCTCACAGTCTCCATCAAAGATCCTATTCAGAGAAAGAATGCAGGGACTGATTTGGCTCCCTCTGTCCAGATGGCTATTTGGATCTCTCACTCATTCAAAAGAACGCATGCGCACCCCCTGCCCTCTCCCCCCACCCCCACCATGCACATGAACGCCTTTTGGCACTTGATTTTTCTCATGAAATAATTGCTGGAAGGCTCCTTGGATTAGGTAACCCAGTGTTCCTTCCTGTCCCCATGGTGGAGGTGGGGATGGGGGAATCAGTGCTCAGCATCTGTTAGGTTGATCCAGCTCCTATGGGGCAATGCAGGCCAGCCCAGGAGGTCTGTGGCTCCAAATGTGTTTGGAAGTTGAATGTCACAGGAACACGCCTTTCAGGCCTCCAGTTTCTGCAATCATAGGTGCCTGCCCAGCCACCAGGCCTCCTGCAGGTAGTCCAGGCCCAGGAAGGAGAAGGCGAATCAGGAAAGGTTGTTTTGTACAAAGAAGGATGGGACGTGCCCATTTCTGTTTTAATCAGTTTCATAATATACAGGGAAACTTACAGTATCTTTGCCCAGTCATCATATCTTGAAGTAACAACTGTTTCCATTCTTCCTTCTTTTGTGAAGGATTTTTTTGTGTGTGCAAGAGTGGGATATCTGGGCTTAGGCATGAAAGGAACTTGGAGAGGGATGGAAGTGGTAGCTCTGGGCCTACAGTGAGAGGCCAGTTACTGAGACCCTGATGGAGGGAGGGGGTGATTAGATCTAAAGTTACCCACCCCAGGACTTGGAGATACAGTCCTAAGTACACCCTGGGTTACCTACTCTGAACCCAGCCTCTCCTGCCTCCCCAAACAGGAGCCATTGGTGAGACTGGGGGCCCCACTGATCACTGGTGGGAAGGGTACAGAAATTTTGCTACACAGAGTGGCGCTGGGAGGGGAGAGCACAGAACTCAGTGACAGGGAGGCGACTTCCCCATCTGTCTCCTTCTTCCTTAGATCTTATAACAGGTGCAAGAAATTCCAGGCAAAGATCCCACAGGTGCACCTTGTAAGAGAGTTGCACATGCTGTAAAAGGACAGCGAGGGACACAGGGTGCGCAGTGGGAAGTCTCTATTCCCAGTGGAATCCAGGCCCCGCGAGTGGGAAGCCGGAGGGAATACATAACCAGTGTCCATGGGCTCTAAGAGTCCTCCACCCGGCGGGCTCGCAGCCCCTCCCCCAGCCTAACGCCGCCCCTCTGCATCTAGGGGGCTCGACTCGGCACTTTTCTTGGCTCGGTATCCCAGAGAGGAGAGTCTGAGCAAACTCTTCTCCTGGCGCCTCCAAGGCCCGCAGCCTGCACCCTCTCGGGCGAAGCGGGGGTGTCCCGGAGTCAGCCCCGGCCCCGCCCCCCAGACCACGCCCCCGCGCGGCGTCCAGTCCCGCGGCTCGCGGGGCCCGCCCCGCCCCCCGCCCTCCCCTCCCGCCGCCCCTCGGGCGAACCCAGCCTGGGGCGGCCAGTCGCGGCGGGGAGCTGCAGAGCTGGGCTTCTCTCCCTCGCTAGGCCCGCTCTCAGACCTGTGCGCCCTGCTCAGCCATGGAACCGAGCCCCGACGCCGAGGAGGCGCGCACCGTGCGCGAGGCGCTGGGCCGCTACGAGGCGGCGCTGGAAGGCGCTGTGCGCGCGCTGCACGAAGACATGCAGGGGCTGCAGCGCGGCGTGGAGCGGCGCGTGGCCGAGGCGTTACGCCTGGCAGGCCCTCTGGCGCGCACGGTGACCGAGCTGCAGCGCGATAACCAGCGGCTGCAGGCGCAGCTCGAGCGCCTGACGCGCCAGGTGGAGGCACTGGGCTTGGCAACCGGGCTGTCCCCCGCGGGCGGCACGCCTGGTACGCCCAGCCCTCCTCCCGCCTCCGGCGCTCCGGACCGGGCGCCCCGTCTGGGCACCGCACGCTTCTCCAGCCACGCCACCTTCTCGCTGTCCGGCCGCAGCCAGGTGAGCCCGGGGAGCGCGGTGCCCGGGCGTGCATGCAAGTGCGCTTGCGCCAGAGGAGTGGGGCGCCAGAGCAGTGGGGCGCCAGAGGAGTGCGGCTCAGTACTCTGGTGCCGCCGGCAGTCGGGACTCAGTGCACGCGCGCGCCTCTACTCGGCTGCAGGAGGTGCCTCCACCCTCACCTAGGATTCGGTCCTGGGGTTGGGAACCACCTCTCTAGAGCTGGAGAGGGCTGGAGACCGTCCCAGCCTGCCCGCGGCACCTGTCTTCGGCCCCCTCTTTTCTTTGGAGCCAGACCCTGTTTCCTCCCAATTCTGTCTCCTCTCGAGCTGGAGAGCTGGGGTACGCCCCCTGAGGGTTCGATGCCACTTGGGGCCTTGTCAGCATGTTGGAGTCCCCGTCCCAGCCGCTCCCTCCCACCCCCGCCTTCATTCAAGCGCCCCCCAGGGTTGCGACTTCACTGAGGCCTGACGGCCCCCTGTTATTGATTAACCCCGACCCTGTAGATAGGAGTGGGGAGGAGGCACTCAGTGGGCGCAGCCTGGCAGCCGCATTTGGAACTTAAGGGGTAAATCCCTTACCGTGAAGGGAAACCAGACTTGAGCAGCCTCAGATTACTGGGGTCAGTGACTGGCCAGAGGCCCACACCTCATGGGGGTGGGGCGCAGGCCGGTGTGGACCAGTCACCCTCCTGGACTTGGGGCCTCCCGGAGTGGCAGTTCCAATGTTACCATGGTGTGTGCAGTGGCCCTTAGGTGGGATTTTCCACCCTGCTCAGGCATGCGCTTTGGGGTCGGTTTCCAGGGGCTGAGTCTGTTGTTTGCACCTGCTGCCCCTCCTTGGTTCAGTTCATCACACATTCAGATTTCCTGTGGAGGTGGGGTCTGGCTGTACCTCAGGGGCCTTGGAGGGGTGGCGGGTGTGATCAAATTAGCCCTTGTCCCTCCTTGGAGGTCCCAGCCAGAGTGGGAGATGGCTCAGATAGAGCAGATATCCTGCTCTTCTCAGCGGGTGCCCTGAAGGGCTTTGTCCTGGAGGCCCTGAGCTGCCACTACTGGTGCAGATGGGGGTGGGGTGAATGGCTGTGAGAGCAACATTGGAAAAGCTGAAAGGACTCACTGACCAGACAGAGCCTGGTAGGTATGAGCAGGAGGGGTCAGTTGTGAAGGCCTCCTGGGTGCTGGGCTTTGTCTCAGGGGGCTGGAGGTTCTTAAACATGTGCTGGTGGCAGAGGCCTTGGTGCCCCAGTGCTCTGTGTTAAGTGTTTACAAATAAGGATGCACTTAATTCTGACCTATGGGCCTGACACACTGCATGTCTATGGTATAAAATCACCACTGTGAGCGCATCCCAGTCCAATAAACTGTGTCATGGGTGATTCCTGAGGTCTTATTTTAACACACATTTGCTACTTGTTTGCTCATAGAAGCAGCTGCCCAAATTTTAAGAGATAAAACCTCAGTCATACATGTATCTGAGCACATACGTACAGATGCTTCTGCCTACGCATATATGTGAGGGTTCTCTCCAGGCATTGTGCCAATGGGACTTGGTCTTTCTTCACCAGGGATCATCTAGACCTTTGGTTGTGAGAGAAATGAGCTGGGCGGGGGAGGGACAGGGTCCTCTTGTCTCCAGCAGGTTTCCTCAAGGATGGTGAGTTGGAGGGTGACTGGAGGTAACTTAATGTGATGGGCCAAGGGAGGGAGGGTGTCTGAGCTGGGGCTGTTTGGAGAGAGGTCTCCCCGGGCAGGTGGCGGGTGAGAGTGTCAGGGTGTGAGCAGGGAGGCGCAGAGAGGAGCTCTGCCTGGGGGCTGGGGGTTACAATCTGGTGGAGATGCAGGCTTCTATTTGGGTCATGTTGAGCGTGAGGGGTTGTAGGACATCAGGGAAAGCTGGCCCAGAGCAAGTGGAGTCTGGATCTGCAACACTGAGAGTGATCAAGGCAGGAGGGGAGGAAGACATCAAGGAAGGCTAGTGGTTGAAGCCCCAGAGAGGGTAAGGTCTTCAGGGGAGTTATGCAGAGGAGAGGGTGAAACTGGAGCCCTGGGCAGAGGTGGGTAACTGCCAGGGAGCTAGGAGACCTGGGAGAGCCCGCTCTCAGAAATCAGAAGGGGAGGGCCCCTTTTGGAAGATGATGTTGGGGGTCAGCAGGGATGCTGCAGGATGCTGGGGCATGAGGACGGAGGCAAGGCTGGGGAGTAGGTTGTGAACTTCAGAAAGGCTGTAGAGAGAGGGAACAGCAAGTAGCACTGAGCCCGTGGGTGGAGGGCATCAGAGGCTCATAGCCCCGGAGCAGGGGCACTCTGGGCCTGAGGCAGCCCCTCTCCCCCTGGCTCCAGAAGCGCTGGTCTCATTTCTCTTGCAGCCTACCTCCACGGACCACTGACATGGGCTCCCAGCTGGTTTCTGGCAATGACGGGGCCGTCTGCTCATGTGCTGTGTCCAGCAGCCTGTGACTGGGCACTTGGTTATGAATGGGAGCCAGGGTTCCAGAGCAAGAGTGGTCAGTCATAGCTGGGTGCTGCCAATCCTCTGGCCTCTCATGTCTGTGTCGCAAGGGGTTCAGAGTGTGAGGGTCTCACCTGTGCACAAGAGCTGGTGGTGACTGTGGTCAGGTGTTGTGAAGGCTTGTGTTGTACTACCCCTCTGTAACCAGTAGAGACTCCTGTGTTTCCTACTGTTTCAAACTAGGGACTGACTACAGGGGTGGGAGGTGGTCATACTCAGCATATACATATTCCCAGAATTCAACACAGAAAGGGTTGATCAAATAATCCTCTTCCAACTACATAGTCCTTGACCTTGCTAGGTAGCGAGTAGCCAGGGAGGCTCTGGGAGGCAGGAGAGGGAAGGGAGTAGGATAGGAGTAATCAGGGAGGACTCCCTGGAGGAGGTGTGATTCCTTAGAACAGACAGGACCTGCTTTGGGCACATTTGCTGAAGTTTTGGCACATTTGTGAAGTTTTGGAGGCATCTCCTCTCAGCTGGACCTCTCTTTCTCTGGACCTAATCCAAGGAGAATTGATCCTGTTTGGTCCCTTGAGCTGAGTGGGCTGGGATTTATAACAGTGACATCAGTCCTCAAAAGTGGGACAATGGCTCACAAAAGTGTCCAGAGTTATCCCCTGGAAGTGTCCTGGGCTGAGCTGGAGCCACCAGGACCCCATGACTGAGGCAGCAAAGTCCCTCAGGAACGACTGCCAGAATAGCCACGTCCAGGCCCGGCCATGAAAGAAACCAGACCCACGTTATCAGCCTCCTTTCCCAGACACTGTGCGATAAGGGAGTTAAATGCTTTAGGGAGAGTTTGAATTGCGTCCCTTAAACCATGCTGTGAGTGAGGCGGAGAACACTCCCTCTCAGGAGGGCTGCATGTGGGGTTCTGGCTGCATGTGGGCTGTGCTGGGCACAGGCACCAGCGCCCGAGTCCACGCATGAGCCCGAGGGGGTCAGGATGCTCTGAGAGCCCCTGAAATATTATTCCTGTCCCTTACCAAAGTGTTAAAAAACTTCCCCAGTGAGAGAGTCCCTGAAGTCAGACTTACCTCATCTCTGCCGCTCCCCTAACGTTCTTAGGCCTGGGTTCCCTCATGGGGAACCTCCCCCTTTATAAAACAAAGGCAGGGGACCTGGAATCAGTTTGGTAGGACCAGTTTCAGCCCCCAGGGCTCTCTAGTGACTTCTATCCCAGAGGACCCTTCTGATTCCCTTTTCTGGGGCCAAAGCAGGCTGCCCCCCACCAAAGGAAGTCCACCAGAGAGTGTGCTGGAGGCTCCCTCGGGTGGACGTAGGGAGCAGGAGAAGTGCTTGCTCCAGGCCAGCCTGGCTCTGGGGTTTAAAGACTCTGCTTTCTGTGAAGGACCCGCTGGGATCCTTTCCGGACTCATTCCTTTTCCTCTGACAGGCTGACAGGTTAGTCTCAGGTGTCCACTCTGCCCTCTGGAAGGCCAAAGTGCTTTGTGCACAGAGCCTGGGTTGGGGTCTGGGACCCAAGTCCCAAACCTTGACTCTGCTATTGCCTTTAGTTAGTGTAGGCTTGGGGAAGGGGCCTCTGGGAAGAGCCCCCGGCCTGAGGAGGAACCTGGGAGTTGGCTCAGCCCTAGGCCCCAGCTACAGTCCTGCCTCCCAGCGTGAGTTAGCCCCATTCTTTTCCCCTCCTTGAATTGCCAGTGACCCCTTGGCCAGAATCCGGCTGGTCCAGAACCTACTTCCTGTCTGTGTCCTTTGGTCCCCTAGGGCATTACGGGGGAGTGGGGGGCTTGCAACATGCAGAAACAGGCATCTGTGGGGCCCCCCATAGAAACCCACATTCCTGGAAAAATGGTTTCACCATCATTTGTCCCTTCAGGCCCCTGCCTGGACCAGTGGAACCTGTTGGACTAGGGTGTGGGGGGGGGGCAGGGTGAAGGGCTTGGAGACCCCAGAGCTGAGTGGGCCTTGTGACAGGTGGGGGCTGAGGCCTCAGATGGACTGGCTGTTTCTCCTCCCCCTGCCCAGTTGGCTTCGGGTTAGCCATGATGTGGCTCTAGGGGTGCTTTCTTTCACTCTTGGGTGCCAGGAGATACCCCACACTCTTCTCCATTGTTGTCAGTGCACTGATACCTCCACCTCTGTCCTGAGTCAGAAGTTGAAGGGTCAACTCCTTTCCCAGGGGAGGCTCTCCTCAGGCCCTGAGACCTCTGCTCTCTCACCTCCCCAGCGACCCTAATGAGAGTCCTCTCACTTTTCTCTAAGCCTGTAAACATCGTCCTTCTTCCACCTGGAAAAAGCCCTCCAACTCCACTCCCTCTCTCTCTTCTTATAGCTAAACTTACTGTGTTGTCTCTGTTTCTCTTGCGTCCTCCCAGCCTGTATCTGGCCCCCAGCTCTGCCTCTGATGAGGAGCCCCAGTTCCTAAATCGGCACCAGTGACCTCTTTTTTTGCTCAGCCCAATGGATGTGTTTTAGATCCCATCTTGACCTTCTTGACCTCGACCCGAGGCCACCTTTGGACCGCTGACACACCTGCCTTCTCCATACGCTCCTGCCCCTACCTTCTCAACATTCTTCTGGTTTTCTCCCTGCCCCTCTCGCTGCTGCTTCTCTTTCTACCTCTCAAACCTGGTGCCGCATCCCACCCTCTACCCACCCTCTGCCCGCCCCAAGCCAGCTCTTCCTCTGCTGTTTTCTGGATGCGCGAGTCCTGCTTGTTCTCCATTGCTCCTCCGTCCTTTTTTTTCAAACTTCAGTATCCAGTGACCTCCTGACTGCAACTCCCTGATGCCACAGGTGCACCTCCCACTCATGCCCACAACTGACATCGTTGTTCCCACCAGCGCCCCTGCCCTTCCTTTAAGCCCGGGCTTGGAAGAGGCATAGCATCCCCCTTCCCTCCTCACCCACACATTCACCCCAAAGTTCTGGGTTCTTCTTGCTTTTGTCTTTGCCTTTGTCTTCTTCCCCCTGACCCTTCTCCCCTCTTCAGGATTAGTGGGGTGACTGCCACTTGGTTTCCCCCTTCCGTGCCACTCTCTCATTGGCTTCTGAAGAATGTTTTAAAACACAGAACTGACAACCTTCAGCTCCTGTTTGTCTAAGGTCAAGTCCAAGTTCTTGGGACTGGCACCTTGGACTGTGGCACTTCTCCAGCCTCTGGCCACCATGTCCCAGTGATGTAGAGTCAGAATGCTTTGTGTCTTCACATCTGTCCACTTCTGCCTCCTGCTTGCTCTTCTGAGCGTGACCTCCCCTCCTCGTCCACCTGGCTGACTCTTGCCTTGGCTCAGGTACTCCTGCCTCTGGGCAGCCCTCCCTGACCCAGTGGATGAAGTCTGTCCTAGGCACGCACCCTCATGCTGACTTGCCACCGTCTGGTCTGCTCAGGGTTCTGGCTCCACCCACAGACTGACCCCCCATGGCATGGAGACCATCTCTTACACTGGTCGCAAGAGAAGCTGAGCTGTCTGGGGCCAGGAGTGGACTTTTATCTTCTGGGAACCTTGTAGACAAGGCAGGAGCCTGGAGGTGCAGCTGACCTCCCAGGCCACCCTGCCTCTGTCCCCTGTTGCCAGGCAGACCTCTCCAGCCTTACAGATGGAGCCTTCTTACCTGCCTCACTGTGAGGGGCAGGGCTGCTGTCTCACTGTGGAATCTTGGACAGGCACATGCCCTCTCTGAGCCCTTGCGTCACATCTGTAAAATTGGGCTGAAAGCACTTCACCTGGGAGGGTAGAGCAAGGAGGGCATGCCTAGAAGGGCATGGTGCTTGGTAGATGCTCCACTGGCATTTGGGTAACCGGCTTCTGTTTCTCAAACAAGGAAGTGAGGTCTGGAGAGACCTGATCCATGGCACACACTGGCTGGTGGCTCAGCCAGGAAGCCAGGCCTCCCTGATGTCTCTTGGCACGCTCTCTGCCCCTCCCCCCATCTGCTGCAGTTGGGAGGGTGTGGAGGAACCACAGGAAATTGTTCAGGCCATTGCACTCTGGACATCTGGACAAATTTCGTGACCCTGCATCCAATGAAAAAGCTTCAGCCTAGGGGCACCAAAGCCCAGCACTGTCTGCAAGGACCCGTGGCTCTGGGATTTGGCTGCATCCACGTAGGCGGCCATGCTGGCATGCCCAGCTGGGATGAATAGGGCCAGGCTTGCCCTTCCCTCCTGCGCCATCTGATCAGGCCTGGGGGAGGGGTGGCACCACTTCCAACACTCCTTCAAACCCTAAGTCTGACCTTTGCACCGAGTGGTTTTGGGTTGTGGGGTGAGCCCAGGGGAGGTGTTTGCTTCCAGGGTCCTGGGGGCTCAGCATCTGGGGCTGGGTCCACTGGCTGTGAGACCTTGGTCTACCATGATCCCCCCGGGGGCTCTTATTTTCAAAAGTGCGTGTGGTTTTCCCTGCTGGAAAAACCCAGAGGGGCGCTGGGGAGGGGTTTTGTGCGGGGCCGCTTCCCTGGCTGACTGGGCTGTGTGGGCTGGTGTCCCTGTAGAGCGTGGAGCATCACGATGAAGCCCTTGAGCCGGAGGGGAGAAGGAACTCCAACTTGTGCGTCGTTGAGAACGGGCACCAGCCTGGGACAGGTAGGGGCCGACAGCAGAAGAGGGATGGATGGGTAGATTTGGGGGTCAGGGTACCTGGGCCAGGCCATCCTTTGGCTAGGAGGGGGGCTTGGGCCTGAACCCCAACAAGTAGAGAGGCTGCCAAGAAAGCAGCCTCATTTAGTGTGAAGTAGAACTTTTCAACACAGGAAAATGGGAGATCTCTGAAAGTGGTGAGCTCCCCCATTTCTGGAGGAATGCAAGCAGAGCCTGAGGAGCTGTCTGAGTACTGAACAGCTTAGAGTAGACTGATAAGCCAACTAGTATTTACTGAGCTGGCCGGGAGGGAAGGTTAGAGCAGATGTCAACTCCAGTTTGAGCAGTGAGAGCTCCCCAGGAGGGGGAGGCCAAGGAGGCTGGAGTGGTCAGGGAGGCCTTCCTGGAAGGGGTGTGAGGAAGGTTCAGGGAGCTGGAGCCCCCCGGGGGAGCTGAGTCTCCTGTGGATGCATGGCTGACTCCTCTCCCCATCCCCCCTGGTCACATGTTCCAGGTCCAGATGACGGACTCCCTGAGGTCACCCAAACCTTCTCGGCACCAGACCTCCCCAAGCCTCGCCCCGTGAGCCTCTCCTTGCGGCTGCCTCACCAGCCGGTCACAGCTGTCACACGAGTTTCAGAGAGATTCTCTGGGGAGACCTCAGCTGCAGTTCTATCGCCCACATCTGCTGCCTTCCTCGGCCTGAGCCCCAGTGAGGCCACCACACCCTGGACTCCTAGTCCCAGTGGTAGGAACAGGAAAGCATGGCCGGGGGGCAGACCCTACCTGGAGGTGGGAGGGGAGGAGGGCTGAGGGGGCTGGCAAGAGTCTCAGAAAACGTGGAACCAAGCCACAACCCTACCAATATCTGTCACTGCACCCCAATCCCTAGCCCATCTGCACTATCAAATGGAGCTCATGGACATAAGCAGGTGGCTACTGTAGGTCAAGGCTGTGGTTGGAGGTAGTCTCTTGCCCTGTATGGCCTCTCCCGCTGTCCCCCTGTGACTGTCTTTGGGCCTGTGGTCAGGCCTCAGTGGTATGTCCTGGGATGGGGCTCGATGGGCTTCCAAAATAAGTTTGGGAAACAAAGTGTTTGTTTGCCTGGGCCCTGCAGGAACCCTCTATGTCCCTGTCTTCCTTCCTTCTCAACTATTGGCTGAGCTTACCCTGGGGCCTGCCGTTCAAAGTGATGCTGTGTGAACAGGGCAGGCCCCAGTCAGAGGAAGGCAGGCGGGCAGTGGCTGGCCCTCACTGGGCCCAGGCTTTGTTATTTCTCTTTTCTTTTGTCCTGCAGAGAAGAATGTGTCTCTCCCACGATCGTTTTCGGGCTCTGGCTACGGAGCAGTGGTGGCAGGCAGGGGCAACGACAGGTGAGTCAGCACTGTGTTCCTGGTGGGTGTGCTTCGCCTTGGACATAGGCTGCCCAGGTCACCTGCAGGGAGCTCCCTATGCTGACCCCAGTGTGAGGCACCTTCCTTGTTTGGGTGCCTCTAAAAAATGAGGCAGCAGAGTTGCTGGTTGGGGTTGGAGCAGGGGAAATGAGGCAGTGGGTCTTGGTGGAAATTTCGATTTGGAAAAATATGACTGTAGTCTGGTTTCTCTATGAAACTGTCCAAGTAAATCTGTCAAAGATTTTGTTGGGGGAGGGGGGTGGTGACTCAGTTTCCAATGGAAGAAGAAGGGTAGGAGGGTTTCCTGGCTTCCTCTTCATGCATCCTGGCTGGCTGGGGTCCTTCAGAACTGTTGCCTCCTGCCTGTGGACTGATGCCTTGCCCGGAGAGGCTGTAGGTTGTGTTCCAGGCTGCCTCCTGGCCTGTGGTGTTCCTGTGCTTCCCCAGGTCAAGGGAATGGTGGGGGTGGGATGGTCAAGGGGTGGGATGGCATGGGGTTTGGCTCTTTTTTTCTTTTAATAATAAAAAGAATTGTGACTTTCTGGCAAACTTTTCCAGGGGGGAGACAAAGGGGGTCATATCTAGTGGGGGTCCTGGTGGGCTGGTTCTAGGCATCCTCTTGCCCAAGGAGAAGGTCTTGGCAGCACTGACACCTCCCTCCCAGCTTGGGTCTGTTGGCTAGGCCTCCTTCAGACCTCAGCTTGGTTCAGAAAACCCGCCCAACCGGTTAGGGACTAGAGCAACTGGCCCTTCATTTCTGTCTGCCTCTTTCCACATTCGGTGGGGAGGGGTCCCTGGGGCCTCCGAGAGCTGAGATGGCTGAATCTGTGTTCCTGACTCTGTGGTTCTCCCCTCAGCCCACCTATGGTGACGCCACCCCAGTCTCCCCCTTCACCGCAGCCGCCAGCCATGACTCAGGCCCATCGCCCGGGGGAGCGCCGCCGGGAGCTGGTGAGGTCTCAGACGCTGCCTCGCACCTCTGGGGCACAGGCCCGGAAGGCGTTGTTTGAGAAGTGGGAGCAGGATACAGCTGGCAAGTACGAATGCTCACTCCAGAACAGCCCAGTCCCAGACTGGGGTCAGGTGGGCGTGGCAAAGCTGACCCCATCTTGCCCCTCAGGGACCTTCCCCAAGATTTGACCCCTGGGTTGAGCCACAAGGTCAGAGCTGGGCCACATTGTAAGCTGGGGGGCAGGGCAAGGGGCCAGGCAAGGCCTGCTGAGAAGCCCTTGCCTCTCCATTCCCGGAGGGGCCCAGCCTGCCTCACCCTGAGTTCTGGATTATAGCTCCTTGGCTTTCTGGGTGTGACTGGGGAGACGTTGGGATTCGTGGCAGGAGCTGGGAGGAGACACTGGAATGCCCCCAGCCCACTATCAGAGCCTCGTTCCCCCTCCCTCAGGGATGGGATCTGCCTCTGCACGTATCACCAGCCCTCCTGTCAATGCCTATGATGATGAGGATGACCCCAGGCCCGCTTCTTGACTCTCGTCAGGGAGGAGACCCTGGAAGTGTTGTCAGTGACCCAGAAAAATTAGTCCTGTCTGTTAGAGTGTCCTTGGGACCTGGAGGAGCTAGGAAAGCTAGCTATCCAGGCTGGGAAAGAGCCTGTAGGGGAGGTGGGCTCAGAGGGAGTCTCTGAAGAAGGGGTGGGGGAAGGGAAGTGGGGAGGGTGTTCCACAAAGGTTGGCTCAGCTCCTCTGTCCCAGGATTGCCCAGTGAGCCCTGCTTCCTGGTGTGGGACATACACAGGGGACCTGGAGGGAAGGGGGTTTGTCCTGCCAGATACCATCTGGGGTGGGAGGCTGTGTAGCTGGCCTATGGGGTAGCGAGGGGAGGCCATATGCTGATAGAAGAGCTCCACAGGGTAAACACAAGGGGGGCCTCTTTCAGATGGTGTGAGAAAGGCTGGGGACACCCTGCCTCTCAGAGGACATGGCAGTGCAGGGCAGCCCCCAGCCCCCACAGCAGGCCTGCCTCTGTCCACAGGGGGAAGGGCGAGACCCGGGCGAAGCTGAAGCGGTCACAGAGCTTTGGCGTGGCCAGCGCCAGCAGCATCAAGCAGATCCTGCTCGAGTGGTGCCGCAACAAGACGCTTGGCTACCAGGTGAGCCAGGGGCCTGCCGTGGCCCTGGGACCCCCGTCAGAAGCTTGACCGAACATTGCCCTCTCTCCTTGTTCCCCTGGCCAAGGCAAGCACTGGGGGCGGGGCATGAGGTAGGAGCTAGAGAAATTGTGCCTTCCCAGCGGGTCCCTGAGTGTCCACTGCATGCACTTAGGAATCCCATATGTGGACGAGCAGGTCTTGTGTGCCTGACTGGGGAGGCCTGGCAGCTACAGTTTGTTGCTGAACTGGATGGATGGTGGGCTTTGGGGTGGGGCTTGGAGTATCTGCTTGTGGAGTGGACTTGGAGGGGGCACAGCAGCCCCCACACTGCCCTTGTCTTGAACCTCACCTTGCTTGCAGCACGTGGACCTGCAAAACTTCTCATCCAGCTGGAGTGATGGCATGGCCTTCTGTGCGCTGGTCCACTCCTTCTTTCCCGACGCCTTTGACTACAGTACCCTGAGCCCCACACAGAGGCAGAAGAACTTCGAACTGGCCTTTACCATGGCGGAGTGAGTATGCTGGTCCTGTTGGCTGCCAGCCCTGGCCTTGTACCCTAGCCCGACCTCTGCCCAGTGGAGCATGGGGCAGACAGGATTGGAGCTGCCGTCTGCAGAACCCAGGGACCCTGAGGCCATCAGTCTATCTGCCTCTTGTACATTTGGAGAGAGGGAGGCCTGTCTGGGGGGATTGCCCCTGGTCACTGGTGGTTGACAGTGGCTCTTCCTGGTTTATCTGTCCTCTGCTGAGTGCCCCGATTCTGGTGGTCACCTTGGAGACTAGCCACAGACAGGGTGTTGAAAATGACTATAGCTGATGATCGGCAGGACACTGAATAATACCTCCCTGGAGGACATGTAAAAAACCCTAAGTAGATTCTGCCCCCCTAAACAGTGCTCTGGCATTGATAGGAAGGTACTGACCTTCCTGAGTTTGCTCACAGGAAGACTGGCTGCATGGAGAGACCTGGCTGATGAGAGCAGTTTTTGGGCAGTGGATCCTACCAGTTCACAGTGACCTGGCAGGGAGGAAGCTGGGGAATAAATACTCTGCCCTCACTCTCCTCCTGCCCTGTCACTGGGGCTTCTTGTTGGCTGAACCCAGTAGGAAGGCACAGGGTGGGGAGCCATTGCTTTTGTACATTGCAGCCCCCAGCTAGAGGCCCAGGCACTGATGAGGGTGTTGAGCTTGATGCTGAGCTTCATGGAATTTAGGGGAGGGAGGTCTGAGGAAAGGAAGGCCTCCTCAAAGCTGAGTTCCCTGCAGGAATATTTACCATTCTGTCCTGCCCAGTCTGCTCTGTCCCTGTGATGTCAGCCTCTGTGACCAATCAGGATGTGATTGACCATGAGTGTTCTAGTCTGTATCCCCTCACCCCTGTCCAGGGGGATGCTCTCCTGTGCTTGCTGTGTTGAAAGAGCCCTCACCTCAGGCTTCGCCTGCCCTCCTCACTCCATTCCCACCTCACCTCCCAGCCCCGTCCCAGCCCCTGGTACCCAGCCCAGCCTGGTGTGGGAAGGAGGGGGAGTTGGCAATTTACAAGACCCACACTTGGTATTGTAGGCCTTGCCTTGAGCTCAGGCAGCCACCCATCTCTAGAGCAGCTGCCTCGCCCAGGGGGCAGAATCGAGACCCTGGCTCTGAGCTCCCTGGCCTGAGTTCCTGGAATCTCGATATTGTCCCCATTGTGTTGTCTTGGATGACGTGCTCAGTCTCTCGGCCCCCTTTGGGGTCATAAGAACTCCTTGTATACTTTAAAAGCCTTCTCTTTCTTGGCTGCTTGGGATTAGCTGTCATCCTAATTGCAGAAACAGCTCTGGATGGAGTGTGTTATGCAACTGGATCCAGACGATGGTGAAGTAGAGCCAAGTGTAACGGCATGGTGTTGGGGAGGGGCGCCCACCAGGAGGAGGTCCAGCTGCTTGAAGCCTAGATATGGAGACTGTCAGAAATCAGACTGTCAGAGTCTGCAGTGCCAGGGCTCTGACGTGGGTACCCCTAGACCCATCCCAGCCGGCAGGGCCACATTTGGCTACAGAGTTCCCCATCAAGTCCATTGGGCCACACTGTGCCAGCTCATGCCCTGGCTACCTCGATCTCCCTTAGCCCTGGGCCAGGCCGGGCAGTGGCCGGGAGCAGGAGGCCCCACGGGGTGGTGGCCATGCACTCCTGCTCGAAGGGAACGTGGCTTTCCTTGGCAGCGGGGCAGGGCAATTCATGGCCTGTGTTTCTCCACAGGGTTTGAGCTCACGTAGCCTTCAGACTCCAAACAGATGTTTCTTCTATTCCCAGCCTTGGGGGCGGGGTGGTTAAGGGGAGTGATGGAGGCTCTTCCAGGTTTTGTCTCCCTCCTCCTAAAGCAAGCAGCCTGGTGAAAATCTTGGCCCTGCCTCCCTCTGGCCTGTGCCTACTGCGGCTGGGGAGGGGCCGACGGTCTGCTGGCACCTGAGACGAGTTCTGCTCTTTTCTGCTGACTTTAGGGGTGGGAAGGGGGTACCAATAGTAGGCCTATGTGGGGGGCCAGCTGGAATAGGGGAAGGTAGGTGGTGGAGAGAAACGGGGAGTTTGAGCTGCCTGCCCAAGGCCTCATGGGAGGATAGTAGCTTGGAGTGTCCAGCTTCTTGGAGACTCGGCTGGTTAGAAAAGCTGGGAAGAAAGCTCAGGGATACCTGCTTGAGGATTCTGGGGACCATTCTGGCCACCATTCCTTGCAAAAGCCAAGCAGACACCAGGGCCGTGGAAGCCATCAAGAGCCACGCAAGTGGAAGGACAAGCCAACAAAGGCAGGTTTTTGTGGGGGTGGGGTGGATGCTGAGGCAATGTGGGGTGGGAGAAGCAGGGGTACACTCTTTGGAAGGGAAGGGAGGGCACTGGGCCCTCCAGCATCAGGTCCACTTCTCCTGAGGAAGTAAACACTTTCAGACCCTTCTAGGAGCAAGGGCCTAAAGAGCACAAATGTGCCCCAGGAACCTGTGGCGTGAAAGTGGTTTGTGCTGCCCCTCCCCTCAATAATTTATGGTCCCAAAGATTCCCTGAGGCCTAATCCGCATGAGGGATGTGGTGTTGACAGCAAAGTGATCTCCCCTTGTGGGACAGGTGTTCAGGGCTTGGACGGCAGAGGGCCAGCCCCTTTTATGGCAGGGACCCGACCCCTGCACCCTTTTCTGCTCTCGGCGCAGTGCAGGCTAGAGCTGGACGTGCGGCCGCGGCTCCCACTTGCCCTGCGGGGAATGTGCCCTGCTCTCGGGTTACCCGAGCAGAAGGGGCTTCCAGGCTATTTGTAGTGCCCATGTGTCTCTGTCTAAAACCAGACAGGAGGCTGCAGTCGGAGCCCTGGCATCCCAGGCTACATTTAGAGAAGGCTTAAAAAAATAAAAATAACCCCTTGAACACCAAGAGCACAATAGACAGGAGTAGGAGAAAACCCTCTGAACGCTTTTAACCCCAGGCAAGGTGAAGCTGTTTGAAATGGTAGGAAGTGAACATTAACCCCGCTCTTTGCTGTGTGCTGGCATCTGAAGTATTCGTCCTTTTTCCTTTGTACTAAATCATGTTGTTTGTGTCATTGCTACAAAGGCAAGTTTTTTTGTTTTTTTTTTTTCTCTTTTTTTAATTCAGAAGGCATTTGGGGCCTCTAGTATTTTGAGACAAATGTTTTTATAAAAGTCAATGCCGATCGTCACTTTTCTTTTCTCATAGCCTATCTCCTGAGTCGTGTTTAACCTGTGTCTGCAGCTTCTGGGAATCTTGTCGTTCCTGTTGCAGCGGGGTGGGCTGGGGAGCAGGTGGCTGTGACCTTGTCCCCTGGTTGTTTGCTGGGGAAGCCAATACCTTGCCCAGCTCTTCCTGCCAGCCTAAGGCCTTCCCTCCTCTCCTGACTGCAAGGACTTGCTGCCTGTGCTGAGCAGAGACCTCATAATCGGAGGGTAAACCAACCTCTGGCATGAAGGAGGGGTGGGCCTGCTCTCCCTGCACAGATTGGATATCACCTGGAGATGCCAGCAATTCTGGGTGTTCTCTGTGAGGAGAGCTCCAAAAAAACTAGAACCAGCTCAGAGGGGAGGGTCCCAGATACCCCTTGGGGTGGGGGTGGGGAGGAAATGAAGGAAGGAACCAGAGGTTGTTCCAGAGAAAGTCATGAATATGACAGTTCTCTTCCAACATGGGAAGTGCTCTTTTGTGGGGAAATAAATGAAACTGAGGATGGCCTTGTGGGACCAATAGATAAACATAAGGGAAAACTCTCACGGCCAGAGCCATCTGCAGAGGGATTGAACTGTCCTGGAGGAAATTAGGTTGGTCCTCCTCCCTGGAGGTAAGAAAGCCTAGACAGGTCCCTCACAGATGGTTGGTGCTTCTGTTGGGGGTGTGTGGAGGGTAATAATGCAGTTCTTCTCCAAGGCTGATGTTCAAGGTTCTGGTGCCACCCTCATTCGATGGGGCAACAATCACCCACACTGTCAGGGTGATAGCAGAGCTCTGGGATTGTCTCTTCAGAGCTCTGGGGGTGAGGGAGGCAGGGAGGGAAGGTGCACTCAGGTGCTGCAGGTGAGAGGAGGAGTGCACCAGTTTAAGTGACAGCTCAGGAAGGTGAACTCAGGGCCCTGGTTCTTCTCTATGGAACTCAGATTTATAATTCTTGACCACCCAGTAGGCATCTTTGCATGCCTACCCTCTTCAGAGCACCTCTTGCCTCATTCAAGCCCTGCCCTGTCCTGTGGAGTGAGGGTGCCCTTTCTTTGGGCCAAATCCACTTGCCACCCCCACGAAGCCATTGGACTCTCTTACTGGCTCCCTGCTCCAACCCAAGGGGGAGGCAGAGATAGGATATGAGACCGAGGTCTCCAATTCGCCTTGACATTTGGTTCTTGATGGGGCTTCTGGCCTCCAGCCGGCCCCACAGGACAGGTTTGGGTTCCCTGTACATGTTTCAGTCTTTGTATTTGGCACATTGGGAACTGGTAGAAAGTGCTGTGTGATTCATGCAGGCTGGCTCCCGAGCTCTGGGGTGTAAGGCACATAACCTCCCCCCCCCACCCCGCCCAGAGAGGGAGCAAAGGCGGGAGTCTGTTTTTCTGTTCAAGAAATTGCACTGAAAGGTGAAGTGATCAGCAGGGCCAGGGTTGGAACCCGGCCTCTCTTCCCGGTTGATCCACTTTGCTTTTTCAAGTGAGGCATGATAATAAAACCAAAACAGACACTTGACATTTCTTGAGCTCCTATTATATGCCAGACTGTTCCATCTGGCTCATGGGGATTAGCTCATGAGTTCTCATGCCACCTTGAAAGGTGACTGTATTTCCAGATCGGGAAACTGAGGCCAGGAAAAAGTATTTTGCCCAAAGTCATAGAAAGGCTGGAGCTGGAATGTGACATGAAACCCAATAATCGAGTACTTGTCCATGTGTGGAAAGACGGGGAACTCCGGGAACGACCATGGCTATTGAAGAAACGATGTTGTGGATTGTCCCAAATGTAATCATTCTCACCCTTTTGGTTCTGCCTGTTGATGTCAGGACAGCCACGTCCAATACCCTGGGGAAGCTTCTGGTGCTATTCTGAGACCAATGTTTTATTTTAAGACTCAGCACTGGGATAGGTGGTGTGATGTGTGGTAGCCCAGGATACTCATCTCCCCACCTCCACGAGACCCCCAGACCCTGAGACCCAGGCCCACCCACTTCCCCTGTGAACAGCAGAAGGACGGCCTGCTGCCCAGCTCAGCCAGAGGCCTGCTCTCCACGCTCTCCACACCAGCAGGCCAAAGTCCAACCTGAGTTTCCCAGAGTGTGAGGCACAGGCCTTGCGGGGTAGGGAGTGGATATGAGATGATTTTTTTTTTTAAAGATTTATTTATGCATACAAGAACTGGGGTATAGGCCAGAGGTGTGGGGTGGTGAGAGGATTCAGCAGAGACAGAGTGGGGAACAGAACAGGTAGACTGACTGAAATACACTGCTGAGGGGAGCAGCAGGCGAGACAGGAGAGGTCTGCTGTGCCATGTGGGTAGCTCCCTGGCTGGGATTGAACTCATGCTGCAGAGGCTGCTGATAGCTTCACAGTGCTGTGCTTAAACCCTTGTGCCACAGGGAGGCCTGACACGAGATGAAGTTTTTAAAAGACAGTTTTTAAAAACTTTGAGTTGTGATTCTTTAGTAGATAGATCAGTTCAGTGGTTCATGACCAGCATTTTCAAAAAAGCTAGGAAAGGGGAATGAGATGATGATAGAAAAAAAATGAAATAGCAAAATATTGGAAGTAGAAAAGGCCAGTAATTTTGTGTAGCTTTTTCTTTTGTTTGTTTGTTTAAAGATTTATTTATTTATTTACATAAGCACTGGGTACAGTCAGAAGTGCGGGAGGGTGAGAGGATCCACCAGAGCCAGAAGAGGGAACAGAACAGGCAGACTGACGAAATACTTTGCTGAGGGGAGCAGCGGGCATGGCAGGAGGGGTCTGTCACGTCATGAGGGACCCTCGCCGGCGGCCGGGGATCGAACCTGCGCAGCAGAGGCTGCGGGCAGCTTCGTAGCCCAGTGCTCAACTGCTGCGCCACCAGGGGAGACCCAATTTTGTGTAGCTTTATTTCCACATCTATGTGTGTGTGTGCTGAATCATGATTAACAAACCTCAAACTATGGATCATGGCAAAGAAAGCTTAAAAACAGTTTTAGGAGGCATATGGACAAGTTTGATTTTTAGTTTATTCATTTTACATTTATTTTTATAGTTCATCTTGATTTTCTGTATACTGCCAGTAGATGCTGAATTTTTTTAAAGATAATTTATTTGTGCATACAAGAACTGGGGTGTAAGCCAGAGGTGTGGGGGGGCGGTGAGAGGATTTACCAGAGTGGGGAGCAGAACAGGAGGATCAACTGAAATACACTGCTGAGGGGAGCAGCGAGCGAGGCAGGAGAGGTCTGCTGCACCATATGTGGGTAGCTCCCTGGCTGGCTGGGGATTGAACTCATGCTGCAGTGGCTGGCTATAGCTTAAAGTGCTGTCTTTAACCCCTGCCCCACTAGGGAGGTCCACTAAATACTGAATTTTTAGTGAAATTGAATTTTATATTAAATCACATTTTTATTTATAAAATATGACTAAAGGGCCTCCCTGGTGGTGCAGCAGTTGAGCGCTGGGTTGCGAAGCTGCCCACAGCCTCTGCAGCACCGGTTCGATCCCCGGCTGCTCCCCGGCCACCGGAGGAGGGTCCCACATGGCGCGCAGACCTCTCCTGCCGCCCGCTGCTCCCCTCAGCAGTGTGCTTCGGTCCTTCTGCCTGTTCTGCTCCCCGCTCTGGCTCTCGCCCTTCCGCGCTTCTGACTGTACCCAGTGCTTGTATAAATTTAAAAAAAAAAAATCTTAAAAAAATAATAAAATATGACTAAATTAATATGATTAAAATTTTAGTGGAATTAGTGAACTTTTAAAGTAAAATTTAATTTTGCATAAAGCTGAAATAAAGTTAGTCTATGAAGTCAAAATGAGTTATATAAGTGTGTTGAGCTCCAGTAAAAACAATCAGTTATTCCAACAGCAAACAGAGATGATTCAGAAATAAAACGACAGATGAGAGCAGATTGGAGGTGCATTCATGGTGAGATCCGCATGAACTTCCTGGGAACCCAAGGCTGACAAGTCCCTAAATGACCTTTGGAGGGGTCTGGGCCTCAATTCTGCCTGTGGGGAAACAGTGGGAGTTGCAAGGCATTGTAAGTTGGGTAGTTTAGGCAAGTGTGGGAACTCTGCCTCCTGACCTCATTTAGAAGGCTCCTGGAGAGGGGGGTTTGGGAAATACTGCATTAGGCCAGGGACTCTGAATTCCTGGAGGCACTTGGGACCCTCCAGGTCCGGGCTGAATTCTGTCCTGGGGGCTGCGATGATGTGCCCAAGGGCTGGTTGGCTGTGGACCGCCCTCTGAGGGATGCCTCTGTGTTTCAGGAACCTGGCCAACTGCGAGCGCCTCATCGAGGTGGAGGACATGATGGTGATGGGCCGCAAGCCAGACCCCATGTGCGTCTTCACTTACGTCCAGTCTCTGTACAACCACCTGCGTCGCTTTGAATGAAGGCCCTCTGGCCTGGAGAGCCAAACAGCAGCCCCGGGAGGATGCCTCGGGCCACTTGTGTCTGGAGTCAGGACGACCCCCAGAAGACTTGCATTTTGGTGTGGAGCGCTGTTTGTTCTGTGATGTGTGACGGCTCCGTCCCCAGGGCTGTGGCCCTGATTACAAGTACGCTGAGCAGTGCCTGACAGCTCCCGTCACAGCCCAGGGGTGGACGGAAAGTGAAGAATTACCAGACAGAGAGAGAGAAACAGAGAGAGAAACTGGTGCTAAGTAATTATCTTCCTAAAAAAAAAAAAAAGTACTTGTCTGTAGTTTCCGGAATGTTCAATAACAATCTTCCCTCTGGTGAATTTGATACCTTGGCTTTACAGGGTTATGTTGATCACCAAGTGTTTTTTATCAAAATACCCAGAGTTTTTTACTTCCTCACACTATTGTAGGTTCCTTTCCTCCCTCCCTCTGGGCCACTGCCAGGAAATAGAGAGACTGCTTAATCAGCAGCTTGACAAAGAAGACCGAAGTCTTGGGAAGAAATAGTTTAATCACTCCCAGGTCCTAGGCAGCAGATGACCTTCAAGTCACCTCGGCCCCCTGGGGAGACGGGAAGGCTCTGGCCTGGGCCCTGGAGCAAGCAAGCCTCCTGTCCTTCCCAGGGGGCCCCACAAGTATCTGACTAAGAATAGGTTCTTGGGAAGTTGACACTTTTGGGGATGGACAGGCCCTTTGTGCTGAGAGCTAGGTTTTATTCACTTTTTTAGGGGATTTGCTGCAGATATTTATAAAAAAATAACTCCATCTGTATCATTGACGGTTTGTACATAAAAAGATGTGTCGAACTTCCCTTGGGGTCCGTTATTTCTGTTTGGGAGATTCAGAACCTGTGAATAAGAGATTTTGGACCCTTTTCAAATGAAAATCTACTTAAATTTCCCCTTAACTGTTTCTGTAACCAAATTTTCAGCCCAGAAAGTTGAAAATCACATTCGTGCCCTCTGAACTTGCCCACCAGTCGCCCATGTCCATATTGTCCAAAGAGCATGAACAGAAAGTCCCCTGGATGGTGACCGAGGGGTCTGTGAAGAACAGTGGCCCATGAAGGTGGGTTCTGGGGCGGCCCCACTATGGAGGAAGCCCATCAAGAAGAGCTGGTTTATTTCCACAGCTGTTTGGGTGGTAGGATTTTAATAGAAGTTCTTTAGAGTCTGTCAAGTCACCACCACCCTTAGCTTATTCTTATTCAAGAACCATTTTCTAATTGGGTTGGATTTTAGCCACGAACTTGTAGAACTTCCCTTTAAGGGGCTATTAGGTGTCTTCAGTGCACTCTAAACATCAGCACCTGTGTGCCTTCATAGAGTGCATGTGTGTATGGGGGGCCAGGTGTCTTTGGCGGTATCGGGGAGAACACGACAGAGCTTGCCAGGTGGATGAACACATCTGGCTTGGTGAGGCTGCTGCCTTGCTCAATCCTTTGGATTCACCCACAGTGGGACACATTCTCTTTCTGGCTCTCTCATCGCTTGGAGCCTCAGGAAGGTGAGTCCTATTATTAGCAAAGGCACAGCACCTGGTCTTTTTTTCTCACTGAGGCTTAGGGTTTCAAATCTAAAGCCAGTTTGGGAACGCAAGGGCTCTATAAAAAGCATGCCTATATGCTCTGAATGCTTGGCATATGTTAAATGGAGCACTCCTGAACTCTCATGTGGCCTTGCACCTTTGTACATAAAACAGAGCAGATCCAGCTAGCATTAGGAACAATTTCCCTTAAACTTGAGGAATAGTTTCCCTCATGCCTCATATTCAGAATAATAACAGACTAGATGTTTTAAAAATAGGTTCTACAATGTTCTTGTCTGATCTTTGGGGAGGGGGAAAATGAAGGTTCCTAAGATTTAATGGGTTTTAAACTTGATTGCCTCTAGGATGAAGCTTGAGGGTTCCAAGACATGGGGTGGGGTGGGGGGGGGAATGCAAGGAGATCACAGAAGCTCAAGATGTTTGGAAACCACCATCGTAGATCAGGGTTCCATGAACGGTCCCATTTTTGAGGTCCTATTTCAAGTCGACTTCTGCCATGTGTGGTACCAGGGATTACACCTCTCCCCCGCACCCCCTCCCAAGAAGAAGGATTTCTCGTAGTTGCTTGTAAGATTCTGCTTTTCCAGATAGATTCCTTCACCTGGGTTTTGTTAAAACTTATTAAGTCTGACTAAATTGGCTTGTGCATTTCCCTGAAGTGAGTATTTTGCCAGAGCCAAGATGGGTTTTAGCTTTTCTGACAGCTGATGGATATTATTCAAGGCAAGTGAGAGCTTATAAGCACTTTCTGAATATGATATAGCACATACTGGATAGAGGAGAATGTACCGGCCAGGTGTTTGGGGAACAGTTTGTTAAAGCCAATGAATTTCGCAAATGTGTTAGATGACGAAAAGTTCTCAGCTTTCCCGGCTGCAGTGGTCAGCACTCTGTAACTGGAGGAGACCAGGGTGAGAGACGATTTTGTTTTCTGCCAAGCCAGGTCTATATGACTCCAGGCAATAAGATGGCAGACTGAAAATGCTGATTCAGTTGGTCAGTCTGGGTGGGACACTTAGCAAGCCCACAGAACCATCTCTGGATTGGGTTTCTCGGACTGGTGCCAGGCAACCAACTCATTCCGAGGAATTGATTCTGCCTGTTGAGATGGCCAACTTAATTCCTCTTTTTCTCCTCCTCTTGCTTTTACGCCATCGCTGATCATCAGCTTCTGCAGAATGATAAATGCACTTGGTATGATTATTATCCATCTTATTGCTCTCACTTTCAAGCCCTGCTTTGGGGTTGCTTTTGATCTTTTATCTCTTGGTTCTCGGACTTGCTTTGACGGCAAACAGCTCTCTTTGTCCTTTGCGAGGGCATGTTAAAACTACCCAGGCCTGCCTCCTCCCTAGAAATCACCAAACAGGAAAAAAAACACCCAGGAAGGATGAGGCCAAGGATCTTGTGCTCTCTGCTGGGTACCCAGGTAGCCTCTATAGAAGCAGATGGCCCACCTTGAAGCACTAAAATGAACAGGAGGCTCCGAATCAGTTGTGCAGGTGATATGGTTGGTGGCACAAAAGAGATGCTGTAGGATAAGGTAAAAAAATCAGGCTTTTCTGCCCTCCCGCCATCAGGATAGATGAGGGAACCCTGTGATCCTGAATGCATGGCTGATGGCGGGCACCTGAAGTGGGTACACCTGCACTAGGACTGCTTTTAAGGGCGGCGTCACGGGGACGCCAGTAGAAGCCGAAAGAGAAGCCCGAAGCAGAAGCAGAGAACGTGAGAGAGCCCAGATAGAGTGAAGATTTGCTGGGGGCTGGGAGGCTGGCAGTCCTCCCAGCCCCCAGCACCCCAGCTTGCCACGTACCCGCTGAACCCCAATAAAAGACCTGCAAAAAACCACTGAGGACTCTGACTCCTCCTTCACCTGGTCTGCATGGGATCAGAAAACCTGCACTGTATCCATTCCTACCCTTACAGATGCTAAATAGCATTTTGGTGTATCTTGTCTCTGCACCCTCGTCTCTTGAGTTGATGCACAGGCAGGACCTACATGCTGTCAAATCCATACATTTTATAAACCCAATTTTTAATCCCAGTTACAAATGTCCTTAGCATGCTTGACATTTTTTTTTTTTAGATTTATTTATTTATATAAGCACTGGGTACAGTCAGAAGCGCGGGAGGGTGAGAGACTTCACCAGAACCAGAGTGGGGAGCAGAACAGGCAGACCGACAAAGTACATTGCTGAGGGGAGCAGCGGGAGGCAGGAGAGGTCTGCGCGCCATGTGGGACCCTCGCCAGTGGCCGAGAATCGAACTGGCGCTGCAGAGGCTGCGGGCAGCTTCGCAACCCAGCGCTCAACCGCTGCGCCAGCGGGGGAGGCCCATATTTGGCATCTTGGCAGCATCGGCAGGACCTCTCTCCCTGGCTTCCGTGACTCCACCTCTCTGCCTTTCTTGCCATCCTAGCTTCCTGTTCCTCTCTATCCCCCCTCTGTGTTCCTTGCCATGTCCCGGATTCCTGACTCAGGATGGACTTGGACTCTGGGAGCCTGTGATGTGCGAGTTGAATGTTTTATATCCCCCTTTCTCGCTAAGCTGCCTCCTGCAGTGTTTGCCCTCCCCACAGATGGCAGCCTGAGCCTCACCTTGCACCCGGGCCCTGTGGACCCACCCAAGCAACTCATCTGCCTCCTTATGTGCATTTGCAAGCTCTTGCCAGTGGAGGTGCAAGATTTCTCTTCGGTTGAGTGTCCAGATACGTGGAACTGCTAGCTTCCCCCAAGGTTTTATTTAGAAAATTTTCAAATTTACAGAAAAAAATGAAAAGAATAAGTCAATGAACTTGCTGTTCCTTTGCTTTGTTAACATTCTGCCATGTTTGTACTCTGTTTCATCCATTTTGGGGAGTCATTTGGAAGTAAGGTACAGTATCATGATACTCATCCCGAAATACTCTAGCAGAAATATCCCAAGAATATGAACATCCTGCACGGACACTTGGCAAGTCAGCCTACTTAAAAGGTTGAGTGTTTAGTCATCTGATGTACCGTACAGCCTGTATTCAGCTTGGCCTCATTGTTCCCACAGGCTGTTTATGGCTATCAAAAAAAATTTTTTTAAGTCCAGGATTCAAAGTTCATACATTACATTTGGTTGTTATGGTTCTTTAACCTTTAAACTTTTAATCTAGAATAGTCTCTGATTTTTGTTTACTATCTATTTTTCACTTGAGTCTTTTGAAGAACCCAGGTTGGTTACCACCTAGATGGCCCCCAGCTCTGCTTCTGTCTCTGCCTCCTGAGCAGATTCAGGTGAAACTCAGATATGGGCCCCACGACACACCCCAGTGGAAGCATGTGCAATGGGAGGTTGCGCTGTGATGTCCAGCAGACCCCCCACTGCCCTCCTCCCCTAGGGTTTTTCCCATGTGGGGTTCTCCCTGGCCGGCTGGGAATCGAACCCAGAGGTGCTGCAGAGGCTGTGGACAGCTTCACAGCGCTGCGCTCAACCTGCTGCACCACCAGGGAGGCCCACATTATCTCCTTTTTTGAGTAGTACTATGGATTCGCAGATTCTTTTTATAAAATCCAATGTATTGTAACCCCTTACTGTCATTAACCTTTTTGATGCTCAAATTTTTTTAAAGCTTTTTTTTAAAAAAGATCTGTTTCTTTATGCATACAAGAGCTGGGGTACAGGCCAGAGGTGTGGGGGGTGAGAAGATTCACCAGAGACAGAGTGGGGAACAGAACAGGCAGACTGACTGAAATACACTGCTGAGGGGATCAGTGGGTGAGCCAGGAGAGGTCTACTGCGCCATGTGGGTTGCTCTCTGGGTGGGGAATCAAACTCATGCTGCAAAGGCTGTGGATAGCTTCATAGGTTGTGTCTTCAACCCTTGCGCCACCAAGGAAGCCCTTGATGCTCAAATTGTCCAAGGTTAGTCCAATGGGAGAAGACAGCTGTGTCCTTTTGACATGACTCCCTCAATCTTTGAGCACTGCCTGCTTGCTGGCACAAGATGATCCAGGCTGGCCTTTGACTTTATTTGCTCTAAGCCTGGAAGCAATCCTGATCTCTTTTAGAAAGGAATCATACTTACCAATTGAGATCTCCTAGCTGGGTGTGCTCAGTGCTCCCAGGTAGCATACTTCCAGCCCCTTTCAATGAACAGAGCTCAGAAAATCCATAAAGATGCCTCCAAGGATGCCAGCACCTCTGATTTTTTTTTTTTTGTTCAAGTATGTATTTATTTATTTATTTATTGCATAGAAGAACTGGGTGTAGGCCAGAGGTGCAGGGGTGAGAGGATTCACCAGAGACAGAGTGGGGAGCAGAACAGGCAGATTGACTGAAACACACTGCTGAGGGGAGCAGCAGGCAAGACAGGAGAGGTCTGCTGCGCCATATGTGGGTCAGCTCCCTGGTGGGGGGTCGAACTCAAGCCTGGGTGGTAATAGTGCTGAGACTTAACCCCTAGGCCGCTGGGAGACTCCAGGATCTCTGATTGAAATCCAAGACCACAGGATGCATCTGTGCTTTCCTTCATATTGACAGCCTTTTCATCTGACAATCCTGCTTGCAGACTATTGTAATACATTGACAAATTTCTTCTATAGATTATAGACAATTTCACAGGTACCACTGCCAACAACAAATGCGTTAAGTAAAATTCAGGGTTTCTATCCCCCCTTGAAGACATCCTCTTAGAGTGCACAGAATACTGGTCCCAAAAGTTACTTCATTATTTTTTTCTATTTGATATACAGCTAGGCTTCTTGTTTCTGTTTGTATTCGATTGTACATTTGTTTCTTTTTTTTAATTGTATATACAAATTCTTCACCTACTCCAAAAGTCAAAACCACGCATATATACAATGGGAGAAGACATTCACATTCCGCCTGCCCACTCCTTTGCTCTCAGTTCCATCGTCCCTGTCTTTCTCGTCTTCTTTCCCCTTCCCTCTCATAGCAACAAGCAAACACTTATCTGGTTTTATTGTCCTTTCTTTTTACACAAGAGATAGCCTGACGTAGCCTCTCTATGTCCTTTCTGTTTATTCTCACTAACAAGCCCTTCCATAGAGGCCCTTATCATCTTTAAAACATGGCTGCATAGTCACAAATCCTTCGTGGTCTGCCCCCGTCTCCTAAGTGGTGTCTCCTCTGTTGTTCCCAGGATTTTGCTGTTGCAAACAACACTGCGGGGCACAGCCTTGTGCATAAGCTGTTGCGTATGTGTGGGGTATGTCTTCAGGGTGAAATCCTGAAATCTATTTTTCACTTGAGTCTTTTGAAGAACCCAGGCTGGTTGCCACCTAGATGGTACCCGGCTCTGCTTTTGTCT